CAGATTGTAGTAGTTCTCTGAATATTTTTTCTTTATCAAAAGAAAGATGAAATTTAAGAAATGAAAATTAAAAAAAAAAACCGAAAATTTGAACTCAAACCCTTAACGTTTTTTTTTTCTTTTTTTTCCCAAAAACGACAACTATTGTATTATCTATCTATCCTATACTCAAAAGAGAGGGAGTCTAAAGAAACTGTGTTTGAGATTAGCAGGTACACAAACCTTACTAGATCAAGGGACTGCTTTGGCACAACGCTTGAATTCTAAGCCGTTCAAGTTGTAGTAGTTTCAGTTTGATGGTTCAGTGTGTTTGGTGGAATGTCCCTTTAAGCAAACTAATAATATAGCTGTCTTTTAACCGATCAAAGGGACCATGCATGGACTGCCATTTTGACAATCTTGCCACTACTATGGCCTATTTCCATCAATAGTCGATTGAGACCTGACTTAGACTTTCCTTGTTTGAAATCAGCATCTCGATCTGCTTTATTGATTTTGCTCAGCATTGATTTAATTCAAGGGTTATTTTTAATTTATCTCTCTGAGGTATATCCTGGCTTTTCCTAATTTTTTTTTTGTCACTTAACCCCTTAAGAGATAAAAATACCTCTCTATTATGCCAAGTTCTTAATATTAAAATTTTTACTTCCTTCCTTTATTTAATTTTAACATGTGGTTCAATTTTAATTACTATAATTGATAGTGATAAAGTTTCCCATAAGAGGAGTATGTACATTAGGGAATACACCAACAATGGATCATCTTTATAAAGGCAAAGAAAAAAACAGGGATAATTTCAGAAACCTCCCCCCCTTGAGGTTTCTGACAATTTCACTCAACTCCCCCAAATTTAGAAAATCACACTAACCTCTCTTACTTTTACTGTTTAAGTAACAATACAGATCCATCAAGTTAGAATTACACTTAAGTATCATAAAATGCCCTTATGCAATATCATACACCAAAAGAAAGTGAAAAAAGGTTTAGTGATCAATTTAACCAAAAAAAAAGTTAACAAACACTTGCATCCAGACTTGCTATGTTTCACGATAATTGTAAACCCAAAACCTTATCAACCTGTTCAAGCAAACTCGAACTTAATCCCCAAATTCTATTAATTTGGCATCACTAAAATCCCAAAATTTACCAAAATTGCACTCCAACTTAAGCTCCAAATTCTATCAATTTTGGCATTATCAAAATCTCAAACTCTACCAAAATCACTTTTTCTACAAATCGATTATAACCACCACTACCAACTAAAATACCCTCAAAAAGCTTCCTAACCCAAATTAACACTATATTTTATCTATTGACTAATCTAACACCTCAAATTATGAACTTACTACCTATTGCCTGTCAACTTCCTTGAACAGAAAAAAATTTGGCCAACCACTATTGATGCCTATGCCAAGAGTAACCCCATACTCCAATGGCATTAGGAATAGAGAAACTAATCTTTGTGACAAACCATCACCAATACTTGTAAATCAAACAAAAATGAAACCAAATGAAGATATTTGATTCTAGTTCGTAATAGACATAATAGCATAACCCAAATTCGTCCCTTTTTCTCTTTCAACAATAGCCCATTAATTTCATTTTTCCTCTCTATTACAACCACCTTCATCATCTCCAGCTAATTTGATCATGAAATTTTCATTTGCTTCCTCAATTTGTAATTTTGGAAATTTTGATTCTTTAATGTATACAAATTGCAATACGAGAAGAAATAAAAAAGAGAGGCTGATAGTTAACTATCACAAAAAGAGAGAAGTAGACAAGAAATAAACACTTCAGGTAGGTTTGCATGGTGGTGTAGTTGATGGGTGCAAAAGACTATGAAGTTATAGGCAGGAAGGAGAGAATCATAAGAGGTAGAAAAAAAGGGAGAGAGAGAGAGAAAAAAAACTATTGTTAATTAAAGTAGGGTTGGGGATGACAACGAGTTGTTGCAAGTTTTTATTTTTTCTTTTACTTTTGGTTTGGTTTTTGTGTCCCACATATGTGGTAAATTATACATTAAATAGAGGGCATTGTAGTCATTTTATTCAATTGAGAGAGGTCAGTGTAATTTTCTAAAATTGGGGGGATTCGAGTGAAATTATCAGAAACCTCAAGGAAGGTTTTGAAAATTATCCCAAAAAAATAATGCAATAAGCAAATATCCATTAGAGAAAAAAGAACAAAAAATGTCCAGATAACTAACATGTGAATGTGTGATTATACATTGTCGTTTGACAAAAAAAAAGTGTGATTGCAAAACAATGGCGACTTTGAATTGTCCAATTAAAAGAAAAAAGAATACAAATTTTTTTGTAAAATAGGAGAATAAATGATATTGATTTATAATTAACTAATTATGTAAAAAAAATTCTATGTAGTTTCTTTATAATTACAAATTAGAAAATGAATATCTTTAATTTTTTTGTTAGCAAAATTTTTTATTTGCTCAAAAATAAAAATTTGAAAAAACTAATTTTGACTAAAAAAAATAAAAGAGAGGAAAATATACCTATATAGTAGAAGGGTATTTTTGTCTCCCATCAGCTTAAGTGACAAAAAATAAAAATTAGAGAGTAAAGTAAGAGTCAAAGTATAATTTCAAGGGATAAATTGTAATTAACCCTTAATTCAATTGTAGAAAAACTTAGGTCAACAACTAACCATCTTCTCCACTTTCATAACCGTTTCTTTTTTATCGAAGAGGGTTGGATTGGATAGCAAGGTGAAAAATATTATAAGTAGAAAGCCCTGTATTCAACACCTCTCATTTACAAATATATATATATATATATATATATATATATATATATATGTATAGACACACACACAAATACAAATACAAAAAAAAAAGTCACTTTTCCTAGTTGCCTTCATCTCCCATAGAGTAGGTTCCCCCCTTAAGGAATAGGAGTAGATTATGGTAGATTAGATGTGCCGTTACACAAAAAAAAAAAAAAGAACTTCCACCTAGATTATTTCATCTAATCATAGTGCAAACATTTTTGTACCACAGGACAACCTCACATTTTGCACAAGATCCCAATAACAAGTTTCTGAAAACGTCAAGTCTGGATATTTTTAGTAGATGTTTCCTATGGCACCACATGTTGGCTAGGTAAGGTCGTGTGTTTGTGTTTCGCCGTGACATGAAAATTATGTTGATGGATAATCTGTAATAATCTCTGCTATTAAATTATGATCCCAAAAATAATTGAAGTTCCCTATCTGTACCATCTCTTGGTACCACCTTCATTGGCCCACTTTTTCATAATCCAATACCCAGCATCCACTAGTTAACTGTGGAGTGATTCATAGTTGTACTTATTTATTTATTTGTAGTGTGAGCATCAGGGCTCGAACAAGGGACTTCTCACTTACACTTCTTTTTTTTTCGAACCAATTAATTTAGCCCTCCTTCCCCATTCATAATTTTTCTCAACTAGGAACATTTTCTTAATTTTATTTTGGCCATCCATAAAATTGTGAATTATTTCTAAAATTCTAAATACGCTTTTCTATGGAGTTTAATGCATACATACATGTAACTAAGCAAATACAAGTGAAGTTGTTACTTTCACAAAGGTACAAATAAATGATGCAATTGATGATCTTTCATTTATTTGTTTAATGTATTTTGAAAGATCTTTCATCTTGTTTCATCTTTTACTTTTTTACATTGTGTTAATTTATTTTAATTAAAAGAGGAGGGAAAAATCCATTTTTCGTCCCCAAACTTTAAGTTAGAAACACATTTCGTCCCTCAACTTTCAGGTGGTACACATTTGATCTCTGAATTAATTTTTTTTGGACATATTTGGTCAGAAAACGTTAATTTGTCGAAATTGGACGGAGAGGGTCACGTGCATTGCGCGTGGCCGTTAAGTGATATACAAAACTCAGTCAAACAGTCAAAATCAAACAAAATTTCCCCAATTTCATTTTCCCGTTCTCTCCTCCATTCTGATATTTTGCCCGGTGACAAAAAGTTGCAATTAAAAACCCTAGCTTAAAAAATTGCATTCTACGATGAAATTGAGCCAAGTGGGAAAAAGTGTTTGATTAGATTGGCTTGTACAAGTAAGAACTTAGTTGAATCAAGTGCAGTTGCCCTAAAAAATGAGGTCCAGAAGCTCGGAAGCCTCCTCGAATTCGTCCAGCAGCTGCCATGTCGTGTGTGGGTGTGGATTAAAAGCAAAATTGACCACTTGTTAGTGGGATGACAACCCTGGAAGAAGATTTTATGGTTTTCCACGATGGCCGGTAAGCTTTTGTTATTTTGTTGGATATTTTGTGGAGGACAATTGTGAAAATTCATTCGATTTCTGATGATGTACAAATGTAATTATATTACAAAAACCAGATAGATGTAAATATTTTGAATGGTTGGATGAACCAATCTGTGTAAGAGGAAGGAGCATCATACCTGGTTTGCTGAGCAAGATGAATCGAATGGAGGAAACAATTGAAAAAAAGCGTAGAAGGGAAAAAATTCTGATTTGCATTATCTTCTTGTTAGCTATGCTTGTTATTGTATTAGTTGTTGGAGGAAAGAGTCGACATACAAAGGAGGGAAAGTTTATGCTCAGGTTGGAGTGAAATAATAGCTGGGCAGATGGCAGATTGTAGAAGTAGTATATGTAATGCAGTATTGGCCCTGCTTTTGTTTGTTTAACTAGGCGAATTGTTGTAATAGTGTGCAGAATTTGGTAATGAATGAAAATGTCTTACTTTTGACTTTGGCAATTTACTTGTGTTGCGTTTCCAGAAGAATACCAAGTCAGCAATAATGAATGAGAGATCCAGTTGTAAACCATTCAATGTGGGCAAATTATCATCATTTCCATTTCAACAACTAAAATTAACATCAAGTTTGCCACTTGTTTGTGGACCATAAACATAAACCAAAAGCTGATCTAAGGCAACAAAAGACTAACATGTCATTGTCTATCACCAACAAAAGACTAATCTAAGGCATCTGCCAATGCAATGTATGACTATTTCATTTTTTTCCCCTTCAGTCCAGAATAACCAGTAACACTGCCAGCTGCAATATCCAAATGTCCATACTTTATCTTGAGAGGGACATCATTCTTTTTTTTTCTTAGGTGTAAAGGCTGGCTATACTTCATTTGAGACCTTCTTAGGCCAAAAACCTCATACAAATTTGGTGAAGATGGAGCAGCTGCTGTGCCAATACCATCAACAACCTCATTTGGTGTAGTTGCATCCTCCTTCCCCTGATCCTTCATTTTCTGCAAAAGCAACAAAAACATTATGTGGGAAGGTGACCAAATGCGGAAATAATCAAAATAGCAAAATCGTTTGCTTTTTTTTTTTCCTGTTGCAGCCTCCTTTCTTTTCTTCTTTCTTTTCTACAAAATCAATGAAACAAACTAGTAATAAGTTGAAGAATGATTGTAGTAACAGCAATATCAAAAAAATGCAAAACTAATATCTACCTTAGCTACCGTGTTAACTAAGTTGTTCTCACAAATTTGGAGAGTACATGTGAGTGGTACTTCAGCTTCATTACATTCTCCGGAGTCATCTTCAACATTTGCAGAAGTATTCTCTGGAATTTGGGAGGCAGCTAGACCTGCTTCAGTAGAAGTAGCATTCTGCTCATCCTTCCTAAGCTAGCAAGACCTAATATTGTGGCCTTTTTGCATGCAATATCTGCACTTGATGATTTGCCAAACTCTACTCATTTTCTTCTTGGTATAATGCTTTTCCTTTGCTTGCTCCTCTTCATCTACATTTCTTTTTCTTTGTTTCTTTGGCCTTCCAACTGGTTTCTTGTACAGGGGAGGGGTTTTAGACCACTTACACCAATGTTCTCCCAATTTCTTTCTCCATTCATTGGAGACACACAGCCATCATAACACTTCAAGTATTTCTCTACTGTGTACCAGCTGGAAACAAACTGCATTGGATCTTTTTTTGCACTCCAAAGTGCAGATATAGCATGGGGACAGGGAATTCCTGTCAGTTCCCATCTCCTGCATGAACAAGATTGCTTCTTGATGTTGACAGCATAATCATCACCATATAGGCAGGAAACCTCATACAGATCATCACTTGACTTGAAAGGAAAGCATTGGGTGGCCTTCTCCATTCTTTTTTGTATTCTATCAACGATCCTAGGACAGTACGCATTGTCTTTCCATCTTGAGCTAGCCAAGTCTCTATTTTGCTGCATCCTTTGCATTAGATATAGGCTCAACAATTCCATCATTTCAATGATTGGTTTCTCCCTAGCATCGACTTTTTTGCTGTTAAAGCACTCACAAAGATTATTCAATAAAATATCACATTTTGGATAAGTGCTAAAAAAGGCTCTACTCCATTGAGCTGGGGGTTTATCATCAAACCACCTAGCTGCATCAATGTCAATTGCTGCCATTTCCTCCATTTTGCTGGAAAATTCAGCTAGTGTAGTTGCCTTTGCAACAGTCCATAACGCTTTTCTGAGAGCTTCTCCTTTGAATCCAGCACTTGAAAAGTTTGCATGCATGTGTTTCACATAAAACCTGTGAGCTGCATTTGGGAAAACAAGGTCACAGGCCTGAATTAGGCCTTTTTGCTTGTCACTCATGATTGTCAGCTCATAATCCCTCTCTATCTTTAAATCTTCCTTCAGTAGTTTAAAGAACTATGCCCAAGATTCTTTGTTTTCTCCCTCTGCTATGGCATATGGAACTGGATAGATGCTGTTGTTAGCATCAAATCCAACAACTATCAATAGAACTCCCCCAACTGACCCTTTCAAAAATGTACCATCAACTCCAATCAAAGGCCTACAACCATCTAAAAATCCTTGTTTCACTCCATTGAACATACAACCTTTGGAACCTCTGTTGTTGTGTTGTTGTGCTTGTAGATTCATCCACAGTCTTCAAAATAATGGAGCTACCAGGGTTGGATTTTTGAATTTCATTCATGTATGCTCCCAACTTGCCATATTGATCACTTTCACTGCCATGAATAATCTTGAAAGCCCTATTTCTAGCTCTATATGTTTGTTTTAGGGAGAAAGAGCACTTATTTTCCCTTATTACTGTCTTCCTAAAGTGCTCCATATTCACCTTTGGATTAATCTTAAACTCCTCAGCATATTTTCTACCAACCCATTCAGAATTTACTAGTGGATTGTCATAGGTAAAACCACATGTATAAGTGTCCTCAATTGTCTTGATTTGCACACTACCCTCATTTGCCAATTTTCTTGGATAAATCTCCCAATGGTAGCCTTCACTTCTACACTTAGCCCTCACTCTTAATCTATCCTACTTTACAAATTTACATGGCCTACCTTATCTAATACTATAATTAGTCACAGCCAACTTGCATTCTTTTATACTATTGAATAACATTTGTAATTTCAACTGTGGATTATCCATGTCTTTTGGGTTAAACACAACATTTTCATTCCTATTAATTTCTTCATCTGATTCATGGACAGTCTCAAAATCAAATTCAGAATCAAGGGCAACATCTATATCTTCAGGCATCACCAAACTGTCATCTTTTTCAATTTCGGTTGTCTTATTTTGCACATCAGTCTTATGATGATCTACACCTAACCATTCTGTAGTGTCATCTATATTTTCATGGAACTTATTATCATCATCATCAGTCATATCAGTCACACTATAATCTGAATTCACTGCAGAGAAGAAAGATTCACTCCCTGAATCACATTCATTGTTTTTTTCCCCATCAGCTCCATTGCTATTTTCTTCCCCTCTATGGTCATCATTAGCTATATTATTCACTCCACAGCCATTAGTTCTTTCATCATCACTAATTTTATATGGATCATAGTCTAGTTGTTGAACTAAGATTTCATGGAATGAGACCTCAAGATATAGGATAATTTTCCTAATTAAACCAGCATTCGTCTTAATATATCCATTTAATTGTCTACTACTGTCTATCCTTATAAAGTTGCTGATTTTCCAATCCCAAACATACTACACTTTATGTCCGTACACTTCACCAGCTTTAGTGAGTCTATCTATTTCAAAAATACTTAAACCTATGCTTTCTAAATAGTCAATGACACAAACATCTCCACCCTCATAATGTGGATGAGGGGTGTACGAGATCAGCCCGCCGTGGTGACCCTTTAGAGTTATAAGTGTAGAACCTTGTTCTGATAAAAAAAAATTCACATACAAATCAATGAATCAGGCAAAGCAACTCTTAGCAGCAAAAATGTAACCAACAATGCGAACAGTTTGGACCCATCTTAAATATCATAATCGAAAATAGGGACCACATGCAGATTATTCTACCATATATGCTCCGACAAAGCCAAATAAAAATATTTAATCTTTTCACAAAAAAACTCGTATTCTCACTCATACACCTACAACACAAACATCAGGGACCACATTGACATATTATAGCCACAAAAGTTGCTAAATTTACATAATTTATTCTGGTGACCAATTAATGTGAAAACCCTATAAATTAACCGTAGGTTGGCGGCGGCTGATCGTTCAATTCTTTCTTCCGAATCGACATCACTCCTCCTATGCTGGCTTTAATCGCGATTCGTTAACCTCCAATGTACTGATTTCTGGATTCGAATGTGTAGTTGAAATGGGGTAGAATGGAGGAGCGAGGAACGGGAAGATGAAATTGGGGAGAGCCTATAAATTTTGTTTGATTTTGACTGTTTGACTGAGTATTGTGTATCACTTAACGGCCACGCGCAACGCACGTGACCCTCTTTGTCCAATTTCGACAAATTAACGTTTTCTAACCAAATGTGTCCAAAAAAAATTAATTCAGAGACCAAATGTGTACCACCTGAAAGTTGAGGGACGAAATGTGTCTCTGACTTAAAGTTTGGGGACGAAAAGTGGATTTTTCCCTAAAAGAGAACTTAGGTGTTGAACTTTTAAAAATGTGAAAATATATGATGCAATTGATGATAAATATATACACACATAGATATAATTCTGCTTTTATTTATTCATTTCATATGTTTTGGAAGATCTTTCATCTTTTTCTCTTTTATATTGTGTTAATTAATTCTAATTAAAGAGGACTTAGGTGTTAAATTTTTAAAAATGTGAAAATGTACTATGTGAGGGTGTATATGCAAGGGATTATTCATGTGAGTGTTTAAATTTAAGTTGAATATACAAGGAAATATCAACTTAAATCAATTTGGCTTCTGCTTGACTATTAGGTCATTCAAGCTAAAACTCTTAGGCTAAAAAATTGAATAAAGCTATTGCCATAATCTAAGAAGTTGTCCGATTTAAGGGTATGGGGTGCCCCTCTATATCTAAACACTTTAAAACACATTGTCATATTTATTAGGGTTAATCGCACTTTATCCCCTTTATGTATGGGCTATTACTCAATTTACCGTCCAACGTTTGTTTTTTCACAGTTTACCCCACTCCGTCAATCCAGCTAAGCAATTGCACCGTTAAAGACTTCAAGATGCCGAAATTTCCATTGGAAGATGATGGAGCAGTTATTTGGCACATTTTGCACTGTTATTTTGTCCCAATTTTGGCCATTCACGGTGCTAAGAATTGAAATTTCACTCATATTCGATATTTGTATGAATTGTAGGTGGTCGGCATTAAAAATGATCTCTTGAGGCAAATTTCCAGAAGATCCTTCATCTCAGGGCGTGTCCACGGCAGAAAAGGTAACTGTTACCGAAAGTCGGAAGGGCTAACTAGTGAATTGGGTCCACGTGAGCCCGGAGCATAGGATTAAGCCCCAAAAGAGGAAGCTTTGCTCCAGACGTCTCTTTCTTTTTCACCTGACGGCGCATTACAAAAAGAAGATTTGCACGCGGATTGAGAGTCTTTTTTTTTTCTTTTGGAGTTCCTTTCCTGCTCAAAAGACCTTAGCTTTAGTTTTTCTTGTTCTACTTTTTGTCAGACGCCTTTCTTTGCTTTTGTTTCTTCTTAGGCAGCAAATTAGATAGCCCGATTTACGTCGAATCAAAACAGTAGCTTTAGTTTTTCTTTTCCCAGGTGCTAGACGTCTCTTTCTCTTTTGACTTTCAACTTTTCCGCTGGACAGTTCCTTGATAGCCTTTTGCTTTGTAATTGCGGCTCCAAAACGAAGGGGAAGTCAGGATCTTCTCGGTTGTCCCTTCAATTAGTTCATCTTCCCCAATTCTTCGGAAATTAATTGAATGGTTTCAATTAAATCACGTGGGATAGATACGATGAGGAGCGGCTAATTTTCTTCTCTACCCAAAGGTTGACGCGAGGGCACGATCCATAATATCTGTGAAATCTAATCGAATCTTCATTATTTCTTTCAATTTATTGCTATTCGTGCGTTTCCTGAATTAATTATTCATGGGTATTTTATTAATTGAATATCAACGGTCGGGTATTTGATTTAATTTAATAACCTACTGTCATATTAACTAAATTGAATCCGTAATTGTTCGTTTAGTTGATACCTAGTGGCAACCATCATAATTGGCTTTATGTTGGGGAAACGTAAGATTTAGTTTAAATAAATCATCTTAGCGTGTTTATTGGTTAGAGTTGGGTTCTTCTAATTTTAATGCAATTGGGTAATTAAATTCCTACGGTTGTACCTAGGGTCATTATCTGGTTAGGGAAGCAGTCAATGGTCGTACCTTGACTGTCGAAAAAGTAAGGAAGAACTGGTTGTTAGAGCTTATTGATAACTATAACCAATCTAGTGACGAATGGATGAAACATCTTTGCATAGATGATCATTTAATTGGACCGTACCTGAGCAGTTGATCTTTTGGGTAGAACTTTTATTAATTGTTATTTTTAGTGAATTATGCTTTGTGAGTTAGTTTGAATTTTGTTTGCTTTATTTCATTTTTATTTGCCTCCCATTGAAAATCCCCCAATTTCGTTCTACTAATTTGGAAAAAAATAATTTCCTACCCGCTCCCTGTGGAGTCGACCCTACTTGCCATTGTACGCAAATTCAATATTTTTATAGACAAATCTGGTATATCGGATCAAGCAAACTCTTCGGGAACAGGGTGAATCAAGTAACCCATTGCACATTTAGGGTCCCTACTCCAGTACTTGGATTTGTTTTATAATTAATTGTGGTGGTAATTAAAACTTTTTAATAATTATTAGAGTATAGGTTGTGGAATAGTCTGTACTAACATAAGCATCTCAGGTCCCTGACAATATCGTCAAAATTAGAACACACCGGACAGGTTGTAATTCAAAGAAAATATATGAATATTAGGAACGCTCAAATCAACATCACGAAATGCCATTACCATAGGCTTGCACGTTTATCACAATTCCACCACTCAAAAGTGAACTAAATATATAAATCAAAGGGATTTCGATAGGGTTGTAATGGGGTTCAGGTGAAAGGCGGGATAAGAAGGTAAAAATAGGGTGTAATGTGTCAAGAGAATGTCCAATATCCACTACATAACCATAATGCTTTATCGGAGCAAGTTCTCAAGTAGGGCGTTTCCATTTGCTGTTTTCATTGTGCAAGTATCGAAACTCGTTCCTCTTTTTTTTTTTTTTTTTTGGAGAGGACGTCTAGCAAGGCGTGGGCACGCCCTGAAAGACAGAGTCTTCTGCTCACCAC